AGGAAGTCACCCACTGTCAGTATTAGAGGCACATAAAGAAAAATACATGTTTCAGGCTTTGAGGTCAAAGTGGAATTTTTATGTACAATCAGATGAACTTAAAAGGTGATCTGCTCATCTCTGAAGTTTAAACAGATACTCCACAGAGAATTTTAACATACTTAATAACAGAAATTGCCACTGCTAGCCCTTCTGAAGGTCATTTTCTTTTGACATCCATCAAATTACACAATCTTGAATTTTGGTACAAAGCATAATGCTGTCAAACTTAAATAGAAATATTCCAGAATGTGGAGTGGTGTGTTGTTTTTTGAGGTAAATGGGCCCCATTTACATTAGTTCTTTGATGTTAAATTCCTTGCTGCACATCAGAGAACAGTTGCTTCTTCCCTGGAGCAAGTTTTCTTTCTTCTTTTCCCCCCACCCTTTGATTTTTTCCTCCTTTTTTTTCCCTTTTTTTTGGGTTTTGTTGTTGTTTTTTTTTTAAGTTTGCTTACACTTTTATCTAACTAATTATGGAGGATCAGCTTATGTATGGCCACATTAATCTAGTTGCAGACATTTTGAAAAATGATTCTTTCATAGCTGGTACCCTAAACAGAGAAGTTCTTAAAATATGCTTTACTATTAGTAAATATGGTTGTGTGTATATGAAGATAGAGAATCATGGAATCATTTAGGTTGGAAAAGACCTTTAAGTTAATTGAGTCCAACCATAAACCCAACACTGCCACTAAACCATGTAATAGAATTCCAGAATGGTTTGGGTTGGAAGGGACCTGAAAGCTCATCCAGTTCCACCCCCTGCCATGGGCAGGGACATCTGCCACGAGCCCAGGTTGCTCCAAGCCCCATCCAACTTAAATTAAAAGTCCCCTCAAATACACCTTATACCTTAAAAATAGCATATAAATACTTTGTAATTAGGGTAGAACAAGGTGTGCTTTTGCAGTGTGGTCCCATCATAGATCCTTTACTCTTTTGTTCTTAATAATTCTACTCAGTTTCATGAAAGGAGAAAATGAAAAAGGGGCTGTATTAGAGTAGCACCCACTAATTCAGACACCACATCTGTAGTGCTAATACCATTTTTAATTTTTATGTGAAATGTTTTGTTGAAGTCGATGCAGTTTTGCTCAGCAACCACAATATGATGCTTTAAGCCTTGTTAAAGAATTACAGTTGGTTTTTAAAACCAATTAACTGTAACGAGGACATAATCTTTTTAATGCAAAAGTCCTCACTCTGTATTACAAAATAACTGCATGTTAAATTGTCATAATCAGATAATTTTAGCTAAAATACGTATTAACTGTGTGAAACTAAACAGAAGTTAATTTTTGAATCGGTGGCATTCCTCTATGGCTTATCCAATTTAAACCTTTTTTTCATTACAAAAATGGATATTACAATTGATGCTTCTGACAAGTTTTTGCCAAGTGGGAATTTCAGCAGCCACCTTTTGCACACAGAAAACCGGTTCCAGACCATTAACTGGATTTGCAGCGCTGCCCATTGCTATAAAAAGAGCTCGGCTTTAATGAAGGCTGGCTGACCCTCCAAATGTTCACCTTGCACTTGGGTTCTTATTCATTATGTTTCTGAAATAGCAATAACCTGAAAGGGAGGGAATGCCCTTAAAATAACGCAGAAGCAACTCGTGAGCCGAGCAGCCGGTTGGAAAAGCAGGAGCCCAGGAAACTGCTCTGTGTGTGTGTGCACCAGGCCAGGGTGAACCTTCTCACTTGTCAGCATAAATGGGATATAAATCCTCCCCAGAGCTCACTGTACACAGCTATGTGTGTGTTTACTTTGCTGGAACTCGTTCCTTAAAAAAAAAAACAAGAAGAGTAAACAGGTTTTTGGGGTGTAGCAGAGCTGCACGTGCCACAGGGAAGGAGGTTTGTGCCTCCTGTGGCTGCACAGCAACAGCCTGTGTAAAGAGGGATTAAATTGGTTTTGTCACAGGTTTTTAAAAAGGAGAAGCTTCATATTTCTGCAGTAAAAGACAAAGTGGAGAAGAGGGCTCCCAGGTATCCCCAGGAGTCAGATCTCTTCAGCTGAGCAGTGCTGGAACCTGTGGGCTGTAACTCTGCCTTCTGCAGAGCTGTGCTGGTGCTGCTCGTGTGGGTTGTGATGATGCAAGACCTGTCAGGTGTTACAGGTGTGAGAAAAGCTGGAGTCAGCAGGAATCACAGAATGGTTTGGGTTGCAAGAACCTTAAAGGTCATCTCATCCCATCCCCTACCATGGGCAGGGACACCTTCCACTAGCCCAGGTTGCTCCAAGTTCTGTCCAACCTGGCCTTCGACACTTCCAGGGATGGGGCAGCCACAGCTTCTCTGGGCAGCCTGTGCCAGGGCCTCCCCACCCTCCCAGGGAATAATTTCTCCCTGTTATCCCATCTAACCCTCCTTCAGCTCAAGGCCATTCCCTTCTTGTCCTATTGCTACATGCCCTTGACAAGTCCCTCTCCAGCCTTCCTGTAAACCTCCTTTAGGTACTGGAAGGGAGTGTCCATAGGGTTTAGTGCCACAGAGCTGCCATAGCCAATTTTAGACAGCTGGAGCCAATCCTTGTGCAATCTCCAATGGAAGCTTTGGGATCTCAGTACCTCTGGAATTTAGACCTCTCAAATAGGGATGTTTGGGGCTGCAAGTGAATGCAAGAATCTGTGGTTTGTTGATGGCTGGGAGACAACTTATAAAATATTTTGCTAATTGGAATTTGTTAAAGCCATTGTAAAGTAAAATGTTGCAACTCCCTTTAAGTAAACTGGTGGGATATACTGTCTTTGCCTTCAGTTAGGAATAAAGCACCAAAATTCAGTGTTTCTTTCCTTTGGGTCACCTCTGTCGTGTCTCTCAGAGGTCAGCCTGGTTCTACTCAGTGTGAACAAACAAATTCTAGTTTGTTTATGGAAGTTATGAGTGGGTTTTTTATTATTTATTGGGATTTCTTCTCTGGGTTCAGGAGGTTATAAAGCTGCTTCTATGAAGGATGAGGACTTTTACCCCAGGCAAGTTGAGCGAGAGCAGCTGTAACGTGATCTGTGCAGTGCCTTGCTGAGGACTGTCTCTCCCTTTCTGGGAGTAACAGTAATTTATACTATTACTGTAATTTATTTTTTGCTTTTTTCCCCCCTAAAGATAAACTGACAGTTTCAGTCACTTTATGTTATGCAGTGGTGGTAAAACATCATCTGAAACTGGACTGCAATACAATAGAAAAGTGTTAACATTGGTCAGCTGAGTACAAAGAGAAATGGAGCAGGACAGAGCTCTCTGGGTTAACTGCTGTGTCACCACACGTTTTATTTATGCACTCCCATGATTTGCCCTCACTGTGTTTGTGGCACACTTTGAATGACAAGTGTAGAAAAAGTGAAATTTAATTTGTCTGGTGCTCCAGAATTATTCTATATGCTGTTTTAAACCAACAAGTGGTGCCATTATCTCTATTTATAATGAAAAACAACTGAAATGTGTTCTCAAAAATGGGGATAAGTTATCAAATTATGGTGGTAGGTTACCAAATTTGTTAATTGATAAATGAAGTTTGATAACTGAGTCTTAGTAATTTGAGTAGATTCCTTGGTACCAACAAACACATGAACTAGAGATGTCCGTTTGTTTCATAATCTTGGAATTTGAAGGGATTCAAGATCTTCAGTGGCACATCATGTGAAGTTGAGGATTCCTTTGAACTGGCTGTAATATACTTACATTAAGCTGCACCTTACAGAGCTGCCTGGATTGCAGGGGATCATTCCAGCCCTACCACACTCTGCAGCCTTAAGCTCCGAAATTTATAGCCCGGTGAAATCAATAAGAACTGTTTGCTTGACTGAAATCCCTGGGGGTTGCAGAAATGGAGTTTTCGATCTTAAAACCGGATCCAGGCAGGGTTCAGAGGCTTTGGGGTCCCCCAAAGTCACGGGGCAGCGGCGGGGGCCGTGTTTGGGTGCTGGATGCTGTGCCGGAAAACTAAGGACGACAGATCAAAGGTTTGAGCAGGAGGTCAGATAGGTTTTGAAAACTTAATCAGCTTAAATTTGCTTCAGAACTCAGCTGCGTAATGTTCTGTCCCCCCTAAGAAAATATTTGTCTTAGACACCTGTCCTGGAGTTTTAGAGCCAAGAAGACGAGAGCGCTCAGCAGTTCACCTGAGGACAGCGTGGTGGGGCTGGGCTGGGCTGGTTGCTGCAGGAAAAGTACAAGTTAGAATTCTGTCCTGAAATGAAATAGAATTTATTTTTGTATTAATATCGTTATTATCAAATTATCTCTGCAATTAAATTATCGGGGGGGGGGAAACGTTAAGAGCTATTTTTCCTGCAGTTATTGAAATATTTGCCTGCTGGATTGTGATATGACAAAGCAGCCTTGTTCTCTGTTTGTTTTATTCTCTGAGTTGTGAAAAAAATGCTGGGAGAAGGAAAGAGCTATATGTCCAAGAGCTGGTTCAGCTGTATCCTGGGTCGATTTTCAGTGTAATCCCCACCTTTCCATGAGAAGGGACATGCAATGGGACAAAAGACAGTTGCAGACACAGCCCTGATATGTGAAGCTGTGCACTGGCAGCCTATGCCTGGGACTTTCTCCTCATTTTTCCCCTCCATTCAGAAGCAGATTCACCCTGATAAACTCATTTGTGTGTGTTGCCTCCTTCCCCAGCCACACACACACACACACACTCTCTCTCACACTCACTCGTTCTCTCTTTTTTTTTTTTTTTAATCTGCAAAGTCTTTATGTTTTTCTAATAATTGGCAGCAGAGGTACAGTTTCTCCCCTCTTTTAAGTGATGAATAGTTGGCCCGAGATCAAAGCCAAGCCCTTGTGGTTTTTTGGCTGCCACAAAAGGGCGTTGGGGCTGGCGCGGGGCCGGCGCTCGGCGATAGGCATGTGGGTGAGGTGCCAAGCCGAGGGGTCGGTGGCAAAGTGTCTGTACACGTTCCTCCTCTGAGCTAAGCTGGTTGTCTCCTGTGTGTGTTCCAGGCCAGCAGCAGACTGAAGCAGACTGAGAAGGAGTACAGTCAGAGACTGGCTAAATCCTCGCAGGTAGGTGGTGAGAAGACAGGAGCCTGCAGCGAGTCTGTGGAGTTTGGAGACTTGGTGGGAAGTGGAATTAATTCTGCTCTTGAGTGTGGGTCTTGACAACCAGAATCACAGATGTGGCGAGTTGGAAGCGACTCACAAGGATCATCCAGTCCAACTCCTGGCCCTGCCCAGGACCATCCCCAAGAGCCACACCCTGTGCCCCAGAGGATCATCCAAACCCTCCTGGAGCTCTGACAGCCTTGGTGCTGTGCCCACTGCCCTGGGGAACCTGTTCAATGCCCAACCACCCTCTGGGGGAAGAACCTTTCTCTCATCTCTAGCCCTAAACCAAGAGAAGCTTTAACTGTATCCCAGTTTCCATCCAGTGTCTTTCTTGCAGATTTTAACCTTTCAAAACCCACAAAGCTTAAAGCTGACTAGCAAAAACAGGTGGGGTCTTTCTGAGTTCTAAATTTCATCTTTTTGATCTACTTTTTCATCTCCTGGGGACCCAAGAGGACTGAGTCCTCCTTCAGTCAGTGGGAAGGGAAGGTGAGATGCTCCATCAACCAGCACATCTCATAGAACCAGGAGCAGCTGCACAACCAGGGCTTGCATTTTGTATTAAAGGTGGTGTCACGTGGGCAGTCAGTGGTGGGACAACAGCCCCAACTGTGTCATCTTCATCATTGCTCCTCACCAGTTCTGCACTTCTGCCCAAAAAAAAAACACCTTGAGGAATGTCAGTGTCCTAAAAGCAAACTGGTTTTGACTCGAATTTTTGTTCTTCAGAGTGGTATTTCAACATGGACGATGTTGAATTTACTTATGTACTTAAAAATGGTAAGACGGGGTGATTTTTAAATATTTCACCTTTCAGTTTGACTGACAGGTAGCACTGAAGTGTGAAAAGTGATGGAGATGCAACCAGAAGTTAAGCTTTTAATAATAAGAAAATTGCCACGAGGGTTTGTGTGGAGGTGTCATTCTCCTCGTTCCTCCCAGACACAGCTGAACATCTGCCTGGGTTTGAAAACTCTGTTTTGAGGCAATAGTCTCATAATATTCTTTTAAAGTCAATAAAAACACTACAAAGAAGGGTTTAGCAGCCTCTAAACTAGACAGAAGTGACCAGTGAGACAATAACAAGAAACTGCAAACTTTACTGTTTTACCAACACTTTAAAATGTTTTAGAACTCATTTTCAACTCCTTTGAGAATCATTTGCTGAGACACTTGTCCAGAATTCTTTTGGTGACATTTATTGCACTGTTACTTTTTCACACTGCATTTTTTGACACTGCTTTTATCAGACTCATTGCTAAATATGTCTTATATTACATTTCTAAAACCTAATATGTATTTTCTACACATTTATTTGCATACAGAGAGGTTGTGGGGTCTCCATCCTTGGAGATACTTAAACCTGACTTGGCATGATACTGAGCAACCAGCTCTGGGTGATCCTGATTTGAGCTAGTCCATTCCACCCACAGCAATTCTGTAATTTTGTGGTAAAACAGAGAGAATGCTCTCTCTCCTAAATGCCTTTTAGTGATTTTTGGGAGCCTTATTTATAAAGAAAGAAACAACAGCAACAAGAAAACTTCTATTTTTTTATCTTTCCATCTGAACCTGAATAGCTGGAAATGGATAATGTCACTACAAAAATGGCTCTTGGTCCATTCCTTAAAGAATAAATGGAATAATTTAAGCATTTATGAATTTTTAAACAAGAGATGAGGGAAATTGCTTTAATTGTTGCAGTGGGAACACCAAGGTGGTGCAGCGCGAGGTAAGAACTCTTTAACCTAAATGTCAGAATAAATTCTGTCACACTGAAATTTATTGGCCTGTAGAATAGTCTCAAAATGGAAAAATTTGGGTGACATGTTTTTTATTAAGGAGGGCATTGCTGTAACCAATACTGGGGAGAGCTGGACCTGTGACCAGATCCTTGGCACTTCCTGGGGCAGACACAACACGTACATCATCTGTCAGGGCCATTTGGCACCATAAAGCAGTTTCACCCTGATGTCTGAATTTCTTTAGTTTTCTGGATTTAAATCAAATCCCTAAAGTTACTTGAACATAGTTGGGTTTGGTTTTTTTTTTTTTTTTTTTTTTTTTGTAGCTCACTATTAATAATGGGTCAATCACAACGTTTCTTGTGGTCGTGTTGCTGACAACATCTGTCTAATCTTACTCTCTGTGGCCTCTTGGAACATTCACTTTTAACACCCACACAGAGAAGAGATTTCAAGAAATTTCCTCTGAAGTTTATACAAAGTAAATAGATTTTTTTTTTTTGATTTTTTTTTTTTTGCTCTGAAAAGCACTGCACAAAGCAGATCTTTCTTCATCAATTCATGCTGAAATTTCCTTGCCCTTATTTCAGAGCTCCTGTGCTAGCCCGGGGTCTTAACCCAGGAAAAGCTTTAAATCCCACATTTGTCTTATGTTGAAGGGTTTGTTATTTTGTTTTCTTTTGCAGAAGTGACAAAGTGGGACAACACAAAGTACTATAGGTTTTCATGTTTTGGGTGTATTTTTTTTTTTTAATCTGTGTTTTCTTTTGGAAAAGAAATATCTCATAATCTGTGTTATTCCCTGGGATTTCTCTGGTAGTAAAACAGAGAAACAAATTTATAACAGGTTTTAATCAGTCCTTTTCCCCTTTCCCAGTGATTCCTGTACCTTCATTTGTAGCACATTTCTTATTACATTAGCCCTGGCCTGTTAGTAGCGTTTTAGAACTATTTTTTTCCTAGATAATCATGTAATTAGTATAGTCAAATGTTTCTCTACCAGTGAGGAGGCCTGGCAGATACAGAGTCTAAGCACTCTGGTAGTCCCTCCCTGAACTTCCTCTGGGCTAAAGTGCTTTTAGAATTAGACTGCATTATGCTGCTACAGCAGCTTAACCTTAAGCTTGAATATATCCATTAAAGTCAGTGACTCTCCTGCATGTTTAAGTGCTTTGCTGGGTGCTGACATGTCAGTATAAAATTCTGTAAATATGCCTAAAGGATCAGGTTTAGTTATGACTTTCCCCAGTGATGAAAAAGGTGGAACAAGTACAGTTCAACAAATCACGAGTGAATCATTTAAGGGTCTCATTTAAGGGTCCTGGACGTGGAATCAGGTCCCTGCTGTATTGCTAAGGAGAATCTGCTCCTTTCAGCAGCTCAGAAATTTCGCTATCACATTTAAATTTCAGCCCAGTATGTAAATGTGGGCGTTTTTCTTCTCAGCAATATCAAGCTGTAAAACATCCTTCTGGAAAACGAGCTGCCCAAACTCTCCCTCCTGGTCTCGGGGCAGGGGCAGGCTGGGAACAGGCTCGGTTTTTGAACATCACAGATGTGCTTTGTTCTCATGAGTAAATATTTTGGAATGTCGTAGTGGAAAACCCTTCCAAATATTTTGTGTTCAGCGATTTTTGTCGTTTCCAGCCTCGCTTATGTTCCTCTTCTCTGCGTGGAATTTTGTGCCTGCTAGGGCGCAATATGGTAATTCCAAATATTTAGCTTGCACAGCAGAGTTTGCCGGTGCCATGTTTGTACCAAGCATAAAAAACATGCAAAATACATGCCTTTCACTGAAGGGAGATTTAACCTGCTGTTTTCTTTTTAGGTCATAGCTGAACTTAAGACAACCATTTCCTCCCTGACAGAGGAGAACAGCCGGCAGCAGCTTGTGGCGGAGCAGCGGCTCCAGGAAGTTATACAGAAGTTGGAAGATGAGAAGCAGCAGCTGATGACAGATAATGACAGAGCAATCAAGGTAATCTGGGGATTTTAATCCCTGATTCTGCTGGCTGGGGGAGTGTAATTAAAAGTTCTGCAGCGGGCAGATGAGTGCAGGTATCGCTCCTGCTCAGTCCAGGCACCGAAGCCGGACTTTGATGTAGCTGATGACTCAAACTTCCTTTCCTCCAGCTGATCCTGGGCATAAAACACATGGACTGGGCAAATCTAATCCAACCACTTCAGTCAAATACTTGAGTCTTTCCTGTTCTCTTTCTTTTAATATTGACTCTGATATTTTAGCGTATTTTCATCACCTTTAAACAGTGCTTTGAGGACTTCAAGAAATAAAGGTGAGGCATCAACGTGGCACGACCTGTAGCTTGGTTTTCACATCCTCAACTTTCAAATTTAAGGCTACAGTGATTCTATGATTCTATGAAAGGATGTTCTTAGCTTCCATTGAAAACTATATGCAAAGTCTGTACTAAACGTGAATGGAATTAAGTACTTGTATTTTTGTTTGTTAGATTTCTGCATATTCTGTGTCAGAATTGCACTCTTGGGCCTTTTTCAACTCTTTTAAGAGACTGCTGGGTTTGAATAGCCTGAGTCTGTTCTTGCTGCTTTGACACCTTGATTCAAAGTGGCTGCAGAGAATCCTGGGAACAGTTTCTAAACATTTTTCTTTTCACAGTAGTAAAGAGCAATGGAAGAATTTGGAAACAAGCAATCTACTCAGATTGACAACAAAAACACATCATGAAAAGTTGTATAGAAGAAGAAAATTACCTTTTTATTTTGGAAAACCATTACTTGCCCCAAAGAATTACATTATTAAATCTAGAAACTCATGAAAAAAATGAACTCATACAGTTAAACTTTTTGTGCTAAAAAGATACAGTGGAAATTTTTACACCTTGAAACTGTCTGATGTTGGATTATGGTGCAGTTAATGTTGTCCTCTATATTTGAACAACTTGCATTAGGTTGTCATTACTATCTTTACTTTCTTACATCAATTATTTAATGATTATTATTTTTTCCTCCATGAAAATTTCTGCCTTTATTTGTGTGTTTGTTGAGGAACAGAATTTTCTTTCTGATCATTGTTTAGTCTCTCCTGTCAAAGGTATAACCATAAAAATGTTGGCTGTAATCTGTTCTCCAAATTGAATCACCAAAGGTAGGTTTTTTTAATCACTGAACTCTGCCAATAGAACACAGTTAAATCACATTACTTTGGGGTACAGGGGAATTTTTGCCACTTAGGAAAATGTTCTATTTGTAGTTCTCCACTTTTCCAGTGGCCACCTAAATCTACAGAAACCCTGTGACAGTAGAATCATCTGCCACAGAGTCAAAAATATGCTGTAATTCAAGTTATCATGGTACCTTCTTGAGTAACACATTCAAAAAATGTTTACCAGCTTTTTGTCTTCTGGTGCAAATTCTATTGTTGAATTTGTGGATTCACTTAAACTAAGTTAAGTTCAATGGGAGTAATTCAGCTGTTGGTAACACCAGTGTTTGAACACTAATGATTACAGGTCCTATGAAATCCTTCTCCATGTAAATCAGCTATTATAAACTCAATTTTGATGTTATTACCTCACAACATAATGAAATCCATAAAAACCACAGGGCAGTTCTGCACAGGGTTTCTGAGCAGTGTCCCAGAGTTTTTAGGGCTGGTGCTGGGAGTATGTTTTGTAAGATTTTGTCAACTTGGGGAAGAAATTGGAGGAGCTGTTTTGTTTGGAGTTCTTGAACTTGGTTTAGTATCATTAATACTGTACTTTAAAAAAAAAAAACCATCTTCCTTTGAAACCACTGATTTAATGGAAATTTACTGAAATCCAGATACTCAAACAAAAAAATTCTTAGGAAGGTAAACTGTGTATTTTTAAGAACCACACATATTTCTAGACAAGCATATGCAGAAATACTTTGCTTTTTATTAGCCTGAGGCAAAAAAAAAGCCAAAACATTTTGGTGAAAGTGGAATCCTGGATGTCCTGGAGATGGGGAATAACATCTAACTCAGGGTAAGCTGAAGACCTGGAGGGATGATTAAAGAAACATTCTAAAAACAAAGCCATTCTTAATATAATGTAAACCTTTGAGAAGACTCGATGTAGTATAAGCTATTGAAAATACTATCATTAAAAAACAGGCATTTGCTAAATATAACATTGATTTAAACTAACATTGAGGAACAGTTTGCAATTTCCTCTATTGGTATTGGGTGGCTTCCTGTAAGACCTTCCAATTATTATTTCCTTTCAAAGGGAGAAATACATTTTTACAGCAACCAACTGGCTCTCAGAGAAGTTTTGGATTTAGGCAGTAAAGTGATATCCAGATGTGGATGCCATAATACATGATTTTGATGTTAATTCAAATTCCTGACTCTCTTTGCTAGTTAAAGGTTTCTGAGTTGTTATTATTGCACAATTGTATCCATCTCCTTCATCTTGTTGTTTTTTTAAGCAGTATCTTAAATCCTAGTCAAAAAGAGTAAATGAAACTTTTAAGAACATTTTGCTTCTTTTGACAACCTAAAAACCCAATCTGACAACACTTTTTGGCTTCAGGTGGCCTCAGTTTGGGTCAGTTTGAGACCAGCAGTTAAAAGCCTTGGCACTCTGTGTTAGGCCATGGTTAGTCTGGCCTAAGGGCAAGTAAAACTTGTCATCACTCATAAAATCAGGATAAAATTTTGGCTCATCACCTTCCTTTCTCACGGCTTTTAAGGTGTCCCCTTTGCTGTGGAGCTGTGAAGCCTCGTGGCAGAGCTCCAAGTACCAGTGGTCTGTCTGATCCCAAAAACTCAGCTCATCCTTCAGTGCCACGGAAAATATCTTTGCTTTGAACTTGCCAGGAGTTGCATCCTTTGGAGCAGAGCCCAAGGATGCTGCAGGGGGGCTGGGAAGGGACAAATCCAGCCCAGCTCACCTGGTCCCTGTGCTGTGCCTCACCTGGGGTGTGCACACGCCTCGGGCATCAGGAACCACTGGTCTGGACCATGGGATTAGTTGGGAGCAGAGCTGTATTAATGCCCTGCAGATGTTTGGAAAGGCTGCTTAAATTGCCACGTCTGTTATCCCATTTGTGGTGCTCCAGGCTGGGATTGCAGGAGGAACCCTCCAGTTGGGTTGGGTGCTGAACTCCTGGCAGTGTCTGCAGGAGCTTCGCTGGTCACTGCAGGGGGGGGAAACTTGTGAAGGATGAATTTAAATTAGTTTTTTAGCATCCCAGTAGTGATCTACCCACAGCAACCTGGAGCTTGATAGACTCAAATAAGCAGGGAATTCACCCAACTTCTCTGCTGCTTTTTGTTACTGGTTGGACTGGGCAGCATCATGAAGTTTATGGCATCATAGAGATACCTTGAGGTTATTTATGAAATCCCAGCCTTAGTTGTTTGGGGTTTTTATATGAAATTCTTTTGGATTCTGGGATTGAAAACGCAAAACAGTTCCTGGGATTGGAACTGCAAAACACGTTCAGAGCATTTTAATGTTGAAGTTCATGGCCAAGTGGGGACTCCACATCAAAAAGTAGATTCTGGAAAGAAATGGATGATGGAGAACATACAGTGACGAACCCACAACAGAAAAGGGGGAAAATGATGCTTTTTTTGCCAGATGAACCACATTTGTTGTTTGGTTCCTATTACAGATTCTAGGATTCTGTTATATCCCAGAATTAACACCAAAATTTGAATAGGAAAACATGGTTGGAAGATGACATGTTTCAACACTGTGTTTGTCAGCCAGCTTATGATCTGATTAATTCTGCTAATAAATAAGACTTAAAAGATTTCTAGGAAAGAATGTCCTGTAATATTGTTCCCCTTCATGTGAAAAATTTTGAAGCAGTTGTTTTGCTTTGTTATGTTGAGAGGGGAAAAAAAAGTCAAAGTGTATTTTATAGCCATAACAGAACAAAGGAGAAAACTTCTGGTTTTAAGTTGTCTGGGCCTCCGTGGGCATTGAGTGTTCTTAACATCCTCATATATTTCTATTCTAATGAGGCTGTTGTATCCTGGAGGAAAAGGATAATTTCCTCTCTGCAAAGTACCGAGGGTTTTATCAACATAGAGAATTTCCTCCATGCAAGTGTAAAAAATACTCTGCTATAGTTGGGCTCAAGTCAGTCCTTGTTTTAAAGCACTCAGAACATTTCTTAAGGGCACCTGATATCTTTGTTTCCAGAAAGTAGCTGTCAAAATATACTGAAGGTGTTTACAAATCTCTCTAACAGAAAAACCATGTTTTTAAAAATTCAGAGAACAAGCTAATTTTGCATGTTGTTATATTTTACTATCTACCATGTTTATTAGCAAATTTCACTTGTAGCTACAAATAATATTTTGTATTAAAAGGCCCATCAGAGCTATGGGAACATTAACTGAGTTGACTGCAGCTCTGCAGAGGAATTTAGTCTTCCAGAAAACACCTTCTGGAATACCAGCATTGCACTCTGCAAGAGTCAGTGTTGGGATTAGTAAGAATTAAATAATTCTCATTTGTTGGTTTCAAAGTCCCAAGCAAAAGTAAATCTCAGTGGTTTAGATGCCCTTATTAGTGATTAATCAGGGGGGAGATGCATCAGAGAGCTCACAACCAAAACTGCCCTGATCTAGACAAGAAGCATTTTTGGTCCTGTCTTGCAAGTGAGACAGTGGAGGGTAAAACCTTGACTTTGTCCAAGGTTTGTGGCAAAGATGGAAGGAAATTAAGACTGTAAGTCCTGGTGGCTCAGAAGGCTGTGACCTCGTGGAACTGATAGCACAGAGGACATTAATTAGGGGAGGAAAATAACCCTAAAAGCTTAGTGAAAACAATAAATGAAAATGTAAAACTGAGGGTAAAGTGAAGAGAGAGGTTATTTCCAGGACATTTTGTTAAGGGAGTCTTGACTTGTTCTGTTCCCCAGGATGCATTGAGAATTAACTACTGCAACCTTGAACACTGTTGAAAGCTGCAGAGCAAACCTTTGTCAACAAACCCCACATTATTGACAAGCTTT